CATTATTGACAAAAATGGTGTGAAATGGGAAGGTTGGTGATGGCCACCATTGATGAAAATTCTTCAAAGGTGTGCTTCAACAATGATGTGCTAATGGTGGTAGTTTGTTCACATGCATGGAACTTTCAAAATTGATCAATGCATGAGTGATTTTGGTCTGAATCCTTACAGGACTGAGAGGTTCTTAGTTTGGATTAGAAGAGATGACCTTTAATTCTGTTATTTGGGCATTCATGTATTTTTCAGTCTTCCATTTTTAATTGCTTTTAATTTGTCAAAGTAAATGCTTTGTAACGGTTTAGGTAGAAGTGAAATATCTTATTCATGTTCTAGTTAACTTACAAATATTATTATAATAAGTGTAGAAGTATAATATATTTCACAACTTAAAGTATAGGGTGCAAATTTTTCATATATCGACTGGAACTCAGCCCATTACAAAACATGAACAAATTACACAAAATCCACGGAATATATAATCACAAAAGAAATTACGAAAAAGAAAAAGAAAAAAAAAAAAATTGAAACAAGATTGTTTAGGAAAAAATTGTGGTCTGCTCCCGGCTCACACGCAAAATCAGAGACACCGTCCAATCATCTCCCATCACAAAATATAAACCACCGCCAGCACAGCAAATCCAATCCCCCAAACCCCGCTCACGCCACAAACCGCACCGGACGAATCTCCCGCCGCATCACCTCCGGCCACCGGGCTCTCAGCCGCCGCCGATTTCTTCGCAGCCGGTGGCGCCGCGGCGGGCGCGGGAGCGGGAGCCCCGAACAAGCTAACGGGGAGCAGGACCTTGTCCACCTGGTACACCGCCAGCTGGCCGTCGGTGTAGACGGTGTTGCCCACGGAGGCATCGTCGACGCCGGTGGAGACATTGACCTGGTTGCCGGATGTGGTGACGTTGAGCGGAAACCCGCTGTCCCCTGCCTGGGTACGGATCGGGTTGCTAACCGTCTGGAATTGCGGCAACGAGAGGCAAGTGGGGATGACGTGGAATTGGATGAGGGAGACCTTCTGCTGGTCGGAGATTGAGTTGAGGGTGCCTGATGGGAGGGCAGAGAAGGCCGCGTCTGTCGGGGCAAACAACGTGATCCCCTGCCCGGCGGCCGTGTTGTTGAGCTGGGCGTCAATCTGGGGCCCCACCTGGGTCGTTCTCAGAAGTCGGATCAGGGTCGTGAACTGACCCGCCTTCTCCAGGATCTTCGTCACGTTAGTGGGCCCAGCGGGGGCTGGTCCGGGGCTCTGGGCCACCGCGCAGGTCGAGAAGAGAAGGACTAAAGAGAGGAGGACTGAGAGTGCCGGTCGATAAATTGATGAAATGCGATTCTCCATTTTCGGGGTTCTTTTTTGTGTGTGTGTGTGTGTGTGTGTTGAATATGGAGGAGGAATGTTGCTAATTTTGGTGTATGCAGGGTTAGGAGGGAGAGAACAAAGGAGGCTTTTATGGGGGATAATTTGTGAAGGAGGAACTTAATAATATTGATTTGGTGAGGTGGGATTTTAGTTGGAAGGGATAAAAGCATACAACAAAATGTGTCAAGTATGTCAAAGTTGGTGGAGGGTTGCCATTCTAGTTAGAAAGTGTTAAAAATGACCGACTCGCGGAGTAACTCGGTGTGTTTATTACGAGCATTTTCATTTTATAGATGCACATAAAGAAGTGTCGATGCATAAATGATTATAATTAGTTTTGCGTAAGCTATATGAGATTATGTTACGTATCGTTCATGTTGCGACAATTGTGCTCGAACGTAAATGATTAATTATACATGATTTGTTGACACCACAAGAATGTAGTTCAAAAGACTGGGTTTTGCTTGAAAATTCAGGAAGAACGTAAAGATATGTTGTCAAGTAGAGGATGTTTTGTACATATGGTTGCTTGGCTTTCACTTGTATGCATAGGGACTTTCTGTTCAGCAGTGTTTGGCAGCATGCTTTAGAAGCAAGTTTCAATAATTAATTTATATATATATTTATCAAATTATATTATATGAACTTTAGTTTACACTCATGCCTTCCCACGTGGTAGGGCGGCCTTTGGTTATGATTTGCGGTTGGTTCTATTAATTGATCAAATCTGATTTCTGATAGCTGGTTTTGGACAACTTTTGTGATGGATTAGATTGCTGCCATTGCTTGGGATATTAAGAATGTTCGGTCTTTCAGTCGGGATCTGTGAACAAAAAAAGTTCATTTCACAATCTAGTTGAGGAAAAAAAAACATAGCATTTGTCTAGTTAAAGAAAAAAGCTTAGCATTTGCATTTCATTTCATCGCTCGAGTAAGTTTAGTTTTCGATTCTTAATCCGAATCTTTTAATCACAATGAAAATTAACTAGATGTCTTCGTCTATTTAATTTGCCTAATCAAAAAAACGAGATTAAGATGATGTCCTCGTCTTCTTAATTCTTTCGTTTGTGCTCTTGTTTTATTGAATATCTCATAAGTGTTTTCTTGTACTTATTTGTGTTATGTGCTAAGTGTAAATTGTATTTTGGCCCAAGTGTGCTAGTTGTAAATTTAATTTCCTAAGTGTGCCTAAGTGATTGTTTTGTCTAAGACCTTTTATTTGCCTATGTATATGTGTTCGGTTCTTAGTGTTTAAATTTAAAACCCAAGCAGCCGTCATGCTCACTCGGCAATTGATAGGGAATACAGTATTAACTCAGCTCAATCTGACGAAAACATATAGAACCAGAATCTACGGGTCCATAGGGTCGAGCGTTAGGGCTGAATAGTAAGATGTTGACCCCAAGGGTCGAATAAACGGCTCGAGGGTCGAACCGGAGGAGCGAGAATTGAACTTTAGAGGTAAGGGTCGACCTAAGGTCAACTAGGTTTGTATGGGCCGAACCGGGCCTTAATGTCGAGCACCAATTAAACCACATCCGATCAACGGACCTTCGGGAGCTTATGATCCCAAGAGGGAAAAACCGTATAGAAGAACACTATATAAAGGCTTAATTTATCAGTTACAAGGTAAGATTATTTATTATTATCACGGTTACATTTGTTACAAGACTATTTTTGTTTATCGGAGATATTGACTTGGACGTCGGAGGGTCTTCCGCTGGAGCAATTCCGGTACTTTTTTCGGTACCGACGAGCTCGTGGACTTAGACCAAACCGAACTAGCTGGTCCGCATCCTGACTTGCAGAGGACCTTTCGGGAGACCGGAGCCATTCATCTCAGACCATATCAAATTGGCGCCGCTTGTGGGAACCCTAGCTCAACCGGTGTTGATCTGGTGTTATCTCATACATAACAACCGAAAAGCAAACAGAGAAGCACATAGTGAAGAAAAGGGAGAAGGAGGGAGAACGTGAGCGAAGGGGGGAGGATAGCTCTTGGCTACACAAGCGTCATGTGGGAGCGGGGCCTCCATTGGGGTGGGTATCGTGTAGAGACCCACCGACGACCCCAACCTCTGTCATTTGCCTTCCACTTGAACTATTGGAAGCAGCAACAGATAGCCCTGTGCAAGCAAGTACGCTAGAGACGCCAAAAAGACCAGGCATGAGTTTTCCACATCGGGGGGCGTGCGAGGGAGAGTTACAACTTCAGGCGAGTGGTGTAGAGGCGACCGAACTGGAGGATCAGCCTTCCATCCTGAAGCAATCCAAGCAAAATACGCCTAGCACATTGGAGATGATGATAGTAGCAGCGGTAGAGGCTAGAATGGCATCGATCTCACCTCTAGTCAGAGGGGCAGCCGCTCGACCCTAAGCACAGGGATTAGAGGCCAGAGCCGAGGTGCGCAAGGTGATAGCTCGACCCGAAGGCTCGGTGTGCGAGGTGGTAGCTCAACCCGCTAGACAACAAATTATAAATGGACATGAGCATGAGCCAGAGCAATCGGTCCACTTGTAACGCCCAATATAATATTTACTATTTATGGAGCTCGACTTTATTTTCATAAATAGCCAGTTTCCTAATTTGATGCGTTTATTATATTTATTTGCATTAAATTGAATAATTGGTATTAAAGTCTAATCCATGGAGAATTTATTCGATTTTAATTATTAAAATCAGATTTATTTAGCACAAGTATCGGTTATATTCGAAATCCGAGCCTTGGATCAATCAGAATTTTAATTAAGCGAATCGAAGCTGAATAATTTATTTATTCGAGTCTAATAATTTTCGAGCAAATCCAATTATCTTAACCGGCCCATTTTAGTAAATCGAGCACATGTTCGATTTAATTTCAGTCCATTTTAAAAATCGAGCATATATTCGATTTTTAAATCCAAGCCCAATTATTCTAGTAAATTCGACCTACTAATTTAATTAGTCCTAGTCCGGTAAATTTTATTAACTGAACATTTAATTCATTAGGCAATGTTTGATTTAATCGAGCCCAAATCATATTAAATTCCCTAGCCCGATTGTGTTTAATTTTAAAAGCCCAATGTGAGGCCTAATAAGCAACTCAAACCCTAATTTTCTACCTACTATAAATATCACTTCTCCACTTCATCACCTACCTTGAAAACCCTAGTCAAACACCATCTTCTCCTCCTTCACCTCAATTTTCGGCCAGTCACCGCCGCCGTCCGGTGCCCCCCGCACCGGGGAGTCCGCGCCGCCACAGCCTCGCGCCGAACCAGCCTCAGTCTGCGCCCAAGTCATTGTCCCCACTAGCTCACGCACGTCACCTGCTCCACTCACACCAGTTCGCGTGCTCTTGTTCCGGCGAGACCTCTGGCCAACGAGCCCACCACGCCGGCGACCCAAAACCGCGACCCTCACGCCGATCAAGCCCTCTGTCCACAGTCAAACCAGCTCCATCACGCACATCAGCTCCAGCTCGACTTCACGCGACATTCCAGCTCGAGACACCACAGTCGAGCCCTTAGTCCGCGACCAGCTGCACCAGTCACTCCGGCGTCCCCAGTTCGTGCGTGCAGCTCAAGGACCGCCGCTATACAAAAGCTCGAGCTCCGGTCTGCAACTCCCACAGTCCGTACAGCCGCGTTTCAGCTCGCAACGAGCTTGTACCACGCATTCCGTCTGTACCGGCGACAAGCTTCAAGCTCGAGCCACCCGCGACTGATTTTGGCCTGATTCCAAAGAGTTCGAGCCGGAAAACAGCTCCTCCACACTAAACTAGACTCGGTTGCATCATATTCAAGTTGGGTTGCCCCTAATCTGGCCCGTTTTGGTTTCTTTAACCCGGTTCTAGCCCGATTTACTCTTGTTTTATCCCGGTCCGCTCGTTTTCGAGCATTTAAAGGTATAATTGATATAACTCAATTTCTATGGCTTAGACTTAATGATATAAATGAGATAAGAGGAAAATGATATGTGATTTGAGCGATTTTGACAAAAAAAGGACATACGAGCTTAAAGCTATTTTCGAAACCTCGTTAAATAATTTTGATAAAATGTTGAAATAAATACCATTAATTTCATTACGACGACTTGAGGCGTAGGTTCAAATTGTATAATTTTTGGACTTGGTTTGGTAGGTAAACGAGCCGGTGAAATGCGTTGAACGGTCGTAGTAATTTGGAGTTGACTGGATTAGGAATTACTGTTTGACTTATTATGTTGACCGTTGACTATTAATATATTGAGGATGCGACGATTTGAATTTCATAAATTTAGGATACCATTTGACTTAGTTATAAAATCGGGACTTTAGTCGTTAAGTCGATATTTTAGAAAAAATAGCCGGATATGATTTTAGCTGCAGTTGATTTTTTTTTTTTAAAAAAAATCAATCTAAATCACATAGAATATATATATTAATTATCAGCCTTAATGAGTTAGGAATTTAGAGAATCGAACCCTAGTTTTATCCGGTTCCGATAACCAGGTATATTTCTGGATCCGATTTTAAATGATTGAATCCTAGTACCGTCTGGATAATTATTAGCCGTCGTATCGTCAATTCGTAATGCGTATCATCGTCTCGCGCACGTGACCCTCCCTCGTCATAACGTTAGAGCCGAACTGCCGACGCGCCCGTGCACCGAGTCCGAGTCAACCCCCGAGTGCGTGCCCGTGCACCGAGCCCATTCGACTTGCTGTCTACGCACCGTTCCACTAGCCGTGGTCCAAGCACGCCCCTACGTCAGTGACCGTGGCACCGTTTCAAACCCGTTCATTGGCTAAGGCGTGTCAGTCGGGTTCGTGCCGGCCCGAGTTGCCTCGCCGAACTTGGACCACGGTCAAACCGAGCTGTACATAGTCAAGCGAATGACCGACCAGCTCCGAGTGAGCTGTCGGTCCAGTTCAGTTGAACCGGTCCGATCAGTCCGAACAGTTCGAGATATATTTCAGAACAATCAGATTAAGATTTCAGATATATTTAAGACTTCAG